CAGCAACAATATCGAGAGCGTGGCTTTAAAAAATATTCAGATTTGATATCATGTCTTCTTGTTGCTGAGCAAAATAATGAACTTTTGATGAAAAATCATCAGTCACGGCCTATTGGTTCAGCCCCATTACCTGAGGCAAATGCAACCTCATATAATAATTATGGGCGTGGTCGAGGCCGTCGTCGTGGTCAAGGCCGTTGTCATGGTCGTAATCATGGCAATAACCATGGCCGAGGGTATGCCCGTGGTCGAAATAATACTTGGCATCGTAGAGGTTTCAACCCCAAATATGAATCTGTTGAACCAAAGAACGAAAGGGGTAGAAATTTACAAAAGAACCCTGCAAAAGTTTCTGAAAGTTTTTGTTATCGATGTGGAGCAAAAGGACATTGGGAGCGTGCTTATCGCACTGCTAGGCATTTGGTTGATCTTTACCAAACCTCACTTAATGAAAAGGGAAAAGGAAAAGATCCAGAAATGAATTTCATTGAGCAAAATAATGTGGATCTTGATACACACCTTGATGTTGCTGATTTTTTCGAGGTTGTTGAAAAGCTTAATGGTGTTGGTGATACCCAACTAAGAGTTTGACTTATTATGTCCTCTTAAATAATTTGCCTTTTGTGGCCATTTCCCTTTTTCTATATGTAATGTTCTTTTTATATGCAATAAAAGAATAAGCATTTCAGAATATATATTGATTATTTGTCTCTTCTGTTTTATTTGTCTTTATTTAAGACTAAATGGACTTGGATGATGCTAAGATCAAAGATGGAGACCTATGTCTTGTTGACAGTGGCACAACACATACCATCTTGAGAAATAAGCATTATTTTTCTCAATTAAAGTTAGCCGAGGCCAATGTTCATACAATATCTGGTATGGCAAAGTTGATTGAAGGCTTTGGAAAGGCTTGCATTTTATTGCCTAGAGGAACAAAATTATTAATACATGATACTCTATATTCTAGTAGATCAAATCGAAATCTACTAAGTTTTAAAGATATACGTCGTAATGGCTTCCATATTGAAACCATGGATGAAAATGGAATAGAATTCCTCCATGTCACAACTTTTGCATTTGGAAAAAAGAAAATATTGGAGAAAATGTTAACATTCTGTTCTGGATTGTATTATACATATATACATCCAATAGAATCCAATGCTGTGACTAATCAGAAAATAGTCAATCCAGATGCATTTATCCTTTGGCATAATCGACTTGGTCATCCAGGTGCTATTATGATGCGGAGAATTATAGGGAGTTCACATGGACACCCATTGAAGAACTTGAGAGTCTTACTATCAAGTGATTTTTCGTGTGTTGCTTGCTCCCTTGGTAAATTGATTATCAGGCCTTCTATAACTAAAATAGAAAATGAATCTCCTCCATTGTTGGAACGAATTCAAGGAGATATTTGTGGACCTATAAATCCGCCATCTGGACCATTTCGATATTTTATGGTGTTGATAGATGCTTCAACAAGATGGTCACATGTTTGCCTATTGTCTACACGCAATGTTGCGTTTGCAAGGTTACTTGCACAAATAAAAAAATTGAGGGCACAATTTCCTGATTATACAATAAAAAGGATCCGACTTGATAATGCAGGAGAATTTACATCTCAATCATTTAATGATTATTGTATGTCAATTGGGATTATTGTTGAGCATCCAGTTCCTCACATGCATACACAAAATGGTCTAGCTGAATCCCTTATTAAGCGTCTGCAATTAATTGCAAGACCGTTGCTTATGAGATCAAAGTTACTCGCTTCTGCTTGGGGCCATGCTATATTGCATGTTGCAGCGTTGATTCGATTAAGACCAACTGCTTATCATAAGCATTCACCATTACAACTTGTTTCTGGGATTGAACCAAATATATCCCATTTAAAGATTTTTGGCTGTGCTGTATATGT